TGGCTTGGTTTCGGATAATAAATATTAATTAGCTATAATAATTATATGAACATGTTTCTCGCCACACTTTCCTATTGTCCCATTGATTTTGTTATTTATTCTGGTATTGCTTTGTTATTGTTTATTTTTCACATTCCATTTAAATTAACTGTCTATTTTGCCACTTTTTTCCCGCGTCGTTGTTGTTGCTGGATAACTATACACATAAATTGACCAAATACCAACACTCAAATGTTTTAGGAAAATATGCATAGGTTTAATGTATGTTTTTGTTGTTCCCTTTAAAATATACTTATTGTTAATCGCTATCGAAAATAAAACCAAAATAAAAACGGAAAAATACAGAAAATGTTAATGCCAAAAATAAACTGCAAATACCACTAAAAGTGCAACATTAAATGGCAAAAGTTAAAAAAGGTTGGGAATAAGGTGCAGTTTTGCATGCCCAACCCAATAGCAAACACTGGATGAGTGCCGAACCGAACCGGTTAGGAGTGGCGCCCATGAAAGAAATATATCAATATTATATATCGTTGGAAAGGTAATAGTCCAAACTGTCAGTCAAGCACAAAATAATTTCATTTTCTATTGAGTTGCTTAGTGAAAAGACGCACGGAAGATGTAGAACAAAGGAGTATATATTCGTCATATGTTCTGCCGACGTAATATAGTACTAAGTTTAACGAAAAATATTTGCGAAGTTTATTTATATCGTGTGCCAGAACTCTGCAAAGAGTGTCTCCCGACATAATCTTTTCCGAGTGTCATTTTAAGAATTTTAATAAACTCTCCTTGACTTAATTTAAAGTTATCGTTCGGCCATTTTGGCTTGTCGTTCACAAAACTTAATAAATAAAATGCAAGAACACGCTTGCGATACGCTATAGGGATAAAAATAATTATATTTATTCAATACAATGTATAATATATAATCAATACAACTGATATTTTGATATGTAATACGCTTGTAATTAAAGTTCATAATTTATCTGCAATTATAATTTTTTAAATAATTGTCATTAATCTCATTAATTTCATTTCTAGAACCAAAGAAAACTATTTTAAGAGGAGTGAATTATTCAAGCTAATTGCCAGCTAAATATATTTATTTTCGGCAATAAATTATCAAGAACATTATCAACTTCGCATGTATTCGTTAAATTCAATTTTGCTATTTTGGGTTTTCGGTCTTAGCTATCAATTAATTGCCATTTTCGTGGCATAGCAACAATGAAAAATCATAAAACTGACATATAATTATACTTATAATGAGAAATACACGCAGCCCACGACGCGTATACTTAATGCAATTGTGTCCAATAATAGTTTTCATTTAATTAACATTTAGCTCCAAAATGGATATGTTTTATGAATAATTTAAGCGGCAGTCAACCGGGATAGTGGGCGTAATTATAAACGCCGCTAGATCTCATCGAAAAACGGATTTAGGAAATGTGAACTGTGTTGGACTTCTGCTGTTTGTAGTTTTAGCCCTCTGTTAATCTAATGCTGTAGTCAATTTATATTCATTAAAGTTAAACTTGTCCTAAACCGCAACAAAACAGTCGTTGGATATAAAGTTAGAGTTTGATTTATTAATTAGTTTTTCTCGCTTTCATTTTTCTGCATTTTTTCTACATGATCAAAAAGTTTATGGACATTTAATTATAATTTTTCTGTTATCTATTTATTTATTGGTTACATTCGCTTATCTCTCATCCCATTTTGCGGTTTTTTGTAAATGTCAAGCCGCCAAGCCTTTTAAGCTTAGATTTGCCTCATTAAAAAAATATGTGTGTATATTTAGTCTGTGAAATCCTTATACATAAATATGTATTAAGCGATAATAGTTTGTATTAATAATGCCGGTCATTCCTGCATACATGTACGAATAAATTGAATGCGTTACACATGAAGGCGTTCATAAAGTATGAAGTCTGCTTTGCAATATATTGCCGGATATTTAAATTGCACGCGCAACTTAACTCTATAAAGAACGGATGGATCCGTCGGATATACCAGCAAATTTGCATGCTATATGGGAAATCAGTTTTGAAGGTGTTTCATATTTAAATTTGACATTTGTTTATTCATTTTAAAGGTGTTAAGTCCTCAAAATTATCGTGCCAAAGTGTTTACGGAAAAATCATGGTTCTCTTGAAAATTAATTTTTAAAGTTGCGTGATTTGTTTAAAAAATTAAGTGGAATTTTCTATATTTGCTCTTAAAATATACCTCTGTGGGCAAAAAGTAAGGTAAATTTGTTTTCGTGGAGTGAACTCCTTCCACCCGGCCGAACTGTTAATAAGGATTATTATACGATTATTATTATTATTATACGAGCATTACGCGTCGTTTCCATGAATTAATTTGTCTAAAAAGTTTTGGTTTTTGCATCACTTTAATGCACTGGCTCACATTTCACTTGTTCTTCGTGATCATTTCGCCAAAAAATCGACGCATATTGTTCCGCAATCACCGAATTCGCCTGATGAAAAAAGGATACAAAAAATCGAAGAAGGCGCTAATGGCTATTCCGAAGAGGGACTGATTGCCATGTTTCCTGGATAGGAAAAAACGTTGGCATACGTGTATTTTATCGGGAACGGAATACTTTAACGGGGATGAGATTGATTTAAAAGAATAAATAAATATTTTGATTTTTGCAAATAAGTGCATCTACCTTTTGCCCACAGTAGTATACAGGCTTTTCATTCTTGCCAACAAATTCGAGAAAAACTTGTATTGTGTTTATAGAGGGCCTACCACACCTGCGAATTTGATTACTGAAGAACTAACTTGACCATAATTGACCAACAGATACTTTAATAAGGCGCATCTAGCTTCCAAAATTGTTGCTTACAAATGTATATAGTCAAAGAACCGTATGCGAGGAAGGTGTTATAAATACTTAAGAGGGTCCAAACGGTTTTAACTTGTAAAAATTCTCGTGGCGTCCGTGTTGGCCCACAAGAGTCCCTATTCAATTTTCACTTCACTTGCTTAAATGGAAATCTTCTCCTTGATCCATTTGCTAATAGCAATGAAATAATTATTTGGCGCAGAGAACATTCCACAAGCTAGATTTCAAATTGTATTTAGCTTTCCGTTATTTTCCATTTTTTTGAACAACTGAACTTGCACGTCCTCTCCCTTTGGATACGGCTTGCTTATGCCGATCAGATGTTCGATTCAGCGATTCTTTATGTGAACAAGAATACGCCTTAAATTGCAACAGCGATTTTAAGTGGCTGTGTGCAGACGTATTTTTCGGCTCCATTAAAACTTCACAAAACCCATTGAGATCTCATTTTTAAATATACCAATACCAATCGATTGACCTACAAATATTATCCACGCCCGCTCTAACGCCCACCAACCGCCCAAAGCTGTGGTGCATACGGTTTTGATGCTAGAAAAAATTGTATCTGTAATGTATTGGTCTCGTCAATACCTTATTATTCATACCCATCTACATGTCATTCATTAAAAATAGCATATTCAATGGAGATTGCACTCTACACCCAAAAAAAAAATCGCCCTTAAATCAAGAAATTCGCCTTTAAATCAAGAAAATCGCCTATGATTTTCATCCAACGGCGACTCACCTTTATTTTAAATAAATAATTTTCTTGAATTTATGGTTTGCCATTTCTGGAAATAATGACAAATTTTTCTTAAATGTATGGTAATAAACCTTAAAATTAAGGAAAAATTTATTAAAATAAGAAAAAAAATATTTATGATGTAAGATTACATCATTTTACATTTTACACCTTACATTTGAGTAATTTGGTTGGTTTTGTATACCAATGTTGAATTTTAAATGGATAAAACCGTTTCTAATTTTAATGGCAATTATTACATGGGAATACTACAGTCTGAAAATTTTTATATTTACCTGAATTTATTAAAGATTTATTTTATATAAATACTTTTTATAAGATATAAATAAATATAACAAATGGAAAAATCCTTACCTCAGACAACCCCGGCGTGAACTCGAACCCGCAACTGCTCACACACCATAGCCAGACGTCTTAACCATTCGGCCACGCGTGCTTCTTGTCATACAATGACTAAAGAGGGCTAAGGTGCTTTTGGTCCAGCTTTAAGCATACAAATAACGTTTATTCTAATCTAAACCTTTTTAACAACCGTTTAAACAATTTGGTGAATAGAAAAGTGAAACTAATAAGAATAAAAATTACATAAATTAAAAAAAAAAAAGAAAAATAAATAAACAAAGGGTACACTTGCCGTGGCGTGGGCTCGAACCAGGTACTTTTGTTCGATTGTTTATTGACCGGACGTCTTTACCAGCTAGACCACCATCAAAATGTATAAAAAAAAGTCACTTTCTCTTAAAATATGGGTATTTCTTTCCTAAATTTAAGTAAGAATTTACCATTATTTCAAGAAAAAAAATCAAGAAAAATTCGCCATTAATTGAAGGAAAAAATGGGATTCTTTCTCTTCTTCATTACAAAAAAAAAAAAAATTATGCCGAATTCCTTAAATTGTAGGCATTTTTTCTATAATCAAGAAAATATTTCTTAATTCAATGGCGTTTTGAAATCACGGGCGATTTTCTAATATTTATGGTGATTTTTTTTTTGAGTGTACATGCATAAAATCGGCATGCAGGGGGCGCTATAGGCTAGGTGGCTCTATAGACTATGTGGCGTGTTAGTAAAAACAGCCGATTGGTTGCAAGCATATCTCCATCCCTCTCGCACTCCTTTTAGCTGAGTAACGGGTGTCTTATAGTCGAGGCCATTGCTTATAGCGCTTCACTTGTCAAATTTGTTTACAATGCTTTTAAAAATACGTTCCCCCATACGATTTTTTAGGCACCCAAATCGACCCGCCCTAATGTAAAATATGTCGACAGATTCTAGCCAGAACCAAAAAAAAAAGTTAATTTTAAAGTTCATGAATCACTTATTTATCATTTATCAAATTGAACGATAACTTTCAACTTTCTTGACTATTTGCAGGCCAGGGAAAGGAGAAGGAGGAGTTCCAGTGCCCCTCACATATTGCCAATGGCAACTACGCTGATCCGGCGACATGTCGTCGTTTTTACCAGGTAAGTGCTAATCTTACATTTTTATACCCGTTACTCGTAGAGTTAAAGATTATATTAAAATCGGAAAGTCGGAAAGTATGTAACGGGAGAAGGAAGCCTTATCAATCCCATAAAGGATATATATTCTTGATCAGGAACATTAGGCTAGTCAATGTCCGTATGAACGCTGAGATCTCGGAATGTTGGGGTTAAGCACAGATTCTTGGGCTTCCTGCGCAGCGCAAGTTTGTTGAAGCAGGGTGTCAAGCCCTCAAACGCCCATAACGCTAAAACCCGTCTAGCGCCCACATTTTTTAATAATGTGTAAAAATTTATATGGCATTTTTTTTCTTATTATCAATACCCATCTACATGCCAAAAATGGTTTATTACAGTTGTAGCCAATTAGTTATAAATAATAAGCAAATTAAATAAAGAGAGAGAGGGATGGAGATTCATGCAGCAAATCGGCTGTCCAGACGATGTGCAATCTAGCACTCCCTTTAGCTGAGTACAGGGTATCTGATAGTCGGGGGCGTCGACCATAGCGTTTTCTCTTGTTTTCTCTCATAAGACAATTAATGGTATTTTTCCTCTTTCAGTGCGTCGATGGATATCCGTATTTAAACCGCTGTCCATCAGGACTCTTTTTCGATGATCTGCAAAAGTACTGCACATTCAAGGATGAGGCCAAATGCGGTCCTCTACCAACAAGTAAGTAATTAGGAAAGTCTCAAAAATTTTGAAAGAAAGTGCAGCATAAATCAGTGCGAAAGAAAGTGGGGTAAAAACTGTAAGTGCACTCTAACTGTGGTCACCATTTCTTGGGCAGGTTTTCCCTCCATCTGTCTGTCTCGGCTGCTAAACGATTTGAAGTTTTAAGAGGGACACAAAGACCCCAGACCCAAAAGACCGGCTGGGACTGGATAAGCGAACTTTGGGCCGAAACAATTGCCAGGCTAAGCTGGGAGCATAAAATTTATTGGAATTTTCAAATATAATTTTGGCAGACTGAACATGCAGGAAATATACCCATATATTAAACAAAATATTTGCCCTTTATAAACTTGGCCAAAAGACGAAAAGTTCTATACACAGTTTTCAAAATAATTTAAATTCAACAATAAACAAAGAGTGCCAAACACTGGCACAGGCTAAGCGTGTACTCGACCGTTTGTCTTAATTAAACAAATCAAAAATATTGAGAGCTCTTCCAATTCCATGGAAAAATATTCAAAAATGGTCAAAAGCAGCGGTTTTCTGAGGTCAGTTTCCTCCAAATCGTTGCCCAAAAAAAGTTGTTTGATAAGACTCAGAATCCGCACACCGATTTTTTGCAAATTCGTAATGTTCAATAGTAAACATTAAAATCTTCGTAAAGACGACGTGAACTTGTTTTTGTAAAATGCCCTTTAGACAAAACAATATTAAAAAAAAACATTTGAAATTAATGTATAGCTTACATGTTTTTTGTCAGAAGTCAAACTAAAGTTAAAAGCTATTTGTAAATAGATGCCTAGAAGTTTATAATGTTTTTCTCAGTGTACAAGCACGGAGAGACTAAAGGAGAACATTTCTCGGGCCCTATGTTGTGCATTAGGAAGCAATTTTGAGTAAATGTCGCATAACTCATTTATGGTTGCAAAATTCGTGTGCATGTAGTATTGTGTTTGAGTTAGGCAAAACCAAACTGAAACGTAACCAAAATCGAAATCGAAATGTGCCCGATGACAAAAGCAATGAGCAAATGGTGGCCACCACTCCGGGGACACAATTCCAAACATTGTCCGCTCTATTGACTTGCCTAACGACGCTGCCCAAAGGGCCACCTTGCCGCAGGGAAAGGGCGGTTGGGATATGGGTTGGAAAAGGGGAGGAGCGGGGGTTAAGCAATAGCCAAGATGAATGCCAAGTACTTTGGAAAACCCCCCGACCACCCACAACATTGAGTGCACTTCAAATGAGGCACAAACGCGACCGCTTAAGAACATCCAAGTCTGTCTTTCGCCTTCCATGTATCTATACACTGTGGGTCATTGGAATAGCAAGGAAACTTGAAGGCCATAATATTTTACTGCATTTCTGCATATTTGTAGATATTTCTTCAAGTAATACAGTGGATGTGATTTAACTTATCTTCGCAATCCCATTTGTTTAACACTTTTACAAATATATTAACAGAAAGTTGGTTAAACAAGTCGGAGTCCACGTGGACATAAGTCCACTTTTAGTCGATTTTTCTTTGGACTAAAGTTCTTTGGTATAATGATGTCAGTCACAGTTTTAAGTTTTAATGAAACCTTCCCAAAAGTCGTATTTCTATTGCAGATAGTATAAAGGTCGGAACGAGCAATAGCACCTATAGGAATAGTTGGAAAAATATTGAAAAAAATTGTTTAAAATTGTAGCTTCGGTGTTTTATGACATATTATACTCTTAGGAAGCCAAATTTGTTTAATATTTCAGAATTTCTAACCATAGGAACGATCGGCTAAATAATAGGCAAATAATTTTAGCTTCGTTACTTTTTATCATATTCTCTTTTACTCCAGTATATACAATTTTTTCTTTATTTCAGAACTACAACAAAATTTTAATAAGAATAGGACTACTATTTCATATATCTGCCATAGGAAGGATCTCAAATTTATTGTCTAAAAAAACCAAAAACGTATACGCTAGTAAATTTGAACGTAACACTATCTTGGTATTTCTGTGATTATGTACATATATGTACACTGCTCCCACCGGTACGACCTGCAAGGGTATATAAACTTCAGTTTGCCGAAGCTAGCTTTTTTCCCTTTTTATGTTAAATTGATGGGTTGTTGATTAACCGGTGAAAAAATTTGTGACTGAAGTTTTAAAGTTTTTTGCCTCATCTGATAACTTAATTTAGAATTTGTATATATTATGGATCGACCATACTCATACTTTGTTGCTTAAAAGACGAAGTACATTTCTTTATTTCAATTTTAATTTATTGGAAGCCATTCATAGTTTTATAATCTTGACCATTGCTATACAAGCGTGTGTGGGCCATTAAAGCTTACATTTACGATTTACTTTTTAGTTTTACGGCAGACTCCGCTTCAGTCTCAGACTTTACGTCGTTTTCCTGCGCAATTTTCTCCACTATCGCATTTTTATTTTGCATAGACTTGAAACATTTTTTTTGCCTTGCCCCAAGAGCAAGTTGACTGAACCCTTTGGTGTTCCCAAGCATTACACCTACATATGTGTACATATGTGGTCAGTATGCTGAAAGGCGATTGAAATTGTGTAAAGTATTTTATTTTTATTTTTATAAATTGTGTGAAGTCTCACAAAATAGATTGATCGAGAGTATAATATAAAAATTTTTTTTTAAATATTGGTTACATTGTTCTATTTATTGGCTGTAGTTACCCGATACTATTAAAATTAACAATTAAAACAAAATTGTAAAGTTAATATTTATTAAAACAGCAATTAAAAAGCTGGAAGCAAAATTGTAAAATTATACATTTTGTAAAAGGGGAAAGTTCTGTAAGTTCGGACGGTGTGTTATTTGGGACATTCGGCTTTCTCAAATATTTTCCAATAGGAACATTTATAAAATTTGTTCTAATTTTTTTTAGTAACCAACCATTTTTTGCTCAGCGGACATTTTTCCAGAAAAATATCCCGAAACAAAGGTCGTCTTTAAAACAAGACAGCAAATTAGAAAAGCCTTTAAAAAAATTCAAGAACGATATCAAGGATATTCTGAAGTCTTTTCCTGAGTGTAACGAAAAAGGTGGTTAGCCGCGCATATTGGGTTTTGAGTCAATGAGTTATATTTGAAGGAAATGATTTTATTAAGAAAGAATATTTAAGACCCGAAGTTTCTATTTATTCCAACTCGAAAATAAGAAATAAAATGAAATCCCAGAAAAATGGCTTGAGATGCTGACTTAAATTAAGCATATGCAGATAGTTAAGTACTTAGGACCTTCTACCCAATGTGCAGTTGAAAAATGTGGAGGAGATGGGGTCAGAAGGTCACGAAGATTTTGGCACGGGATTGCAAAACGGTGATAAGGGGTGGGTGGCACGGGAAAAGGGTTGAACACACTACTCCACATGCGGAGTGACATATCGCTCGCCTGCAAACACGCACTTTTGCAGTAGTTTCCATTCCGGTTGCAACTGCGAATAGGACTGCTTTTTTGGATACGGAGAATAGATGGTAGAGGTCGGGGGAGTACGGCAAGAGTTTTCCGTTTTACGGGTATGGAAGCTGATCCTGGTCCGTCGGTCGACGGTCGTTGGTCGTTGGTCGTTGGTCTAAAGGCAACCGCTTGGAAGAAAGCTGCGACAGCTAAAGCGTTTGGGGATTTGCGTAATACCGACTTGAATATTGTATCATATAAATAGCTCTGTGTGTGTGTGTCATTTATGTTATTACATTTCCCCACACACACGCAGACGGGGAGTTCGAGGAAATATTGCAGCTGAGTTTAGGTCAAAGCTCTGTGCATAAAAAGTTTTTCAGCTTCCTTTCTGCTGGCACATATACATACATATGTAACATTGTATATATATTTTTTTTAGTTCTGGCCCCATATATCTTTTTTTTTGTGTAAAATTGATCAGAATTAGCTTTTTCCCAAACATTGCACTATGGGGAATTTGATCACTTTTTGTGACATTAATTAATAACTTAAAAACGAAGCAATATTTAAGTGTTTTGTTTTTTGAATTAAGTATATACAATTTACAGGCACTAAAATAAAAAAGATGAGTGTGGTTCCGCCTTTCTTTGAAAGAAAAAAAGTATTTTTTGTTAGTCAAATAAAAAAAATATTTTCTTTATTTTTTTATGAAAAGACCAAACTTAATTTAAAAAAAAATGGCTTTTTTGTTTCCCATTTTTTAAGAAAAATTTTAATTTTATATTTTCTTACCATTATAATTCTTAACAAAAAAAAATTTAAAATCTAAATTTAACTTAAAATTTTTGTTTTCTTGAGGTCGCAAACTCAAGTTACAAGGTCCTCTGATTGGATGGTATTTCAAAAACTGCAGTACTTTGTTTAGTTTTACACTTTTTGACACTTTTTAAAAAATAATTGGCTATTTACCAGCGCTGCCATCTCGTTGAAATAAAAACAGTCTATTTTTAACGACTTTTAAAAAATGGGGTATTGCCAAAAATGTGGTCCAATTCCCCATAGTGCATTGCTGGCCAGTGTAAATAACTAATCCACACCCAAAAAAACAGAAACCATTTCCGACCCAATAAGGTACATATATTCTTGATTAGGATCAATAGTCGAGTCGAAATAGCCATGTCCATGTCAAACGCCCACATAATTGTAAAATTTGACTGGCGCCCATATGTTTAAAATTTGGTAAATGTGTTAATTTTTTTAGAAGTGACTGTAAGACGTTTGTTTATATCGTAAAAACTCCAAAAACATCCGAAAAATAAGATACATGTTTAATTTTAAAGGTGCCGTCCAAACGAACTAAGGCAGCTATTTTTTTTACAAAATCCGTGGTTAAAAAGGTTTATTGGATTTAAAAATTTTGTAATTATTTAAAAATTTGAATTTCAGTAATGATCTACATCATTTTATTCCCTGAGATTGTAAAATATTTTTAGTAAACGACTTAATTGCTTAGAATTAGAATTCACACAAGCTGCCAAAGCAAGTTCTGGTTTCAAAAGTAGCTGAAATATATAAATATATATAATTAAAAGATGTTACATGAAATTAATGAACGAACTCCAAATTAATTCTGCATACAAAATCATTTTGAATTGCAGTTTATTGTAGACCGTTTCTTAAAAAGTATTATTAGTCAGAGGTGAGATTACAAAACAGACAGTTAACGTTCAATTCGAGTGCAAACTTTTAAACTATTGTTTCAGTTCAATAGTTATATAGCATAAATAAAACGAAATTTCATATATCGATTTAGATATTCCCACCTAGCCTGTAAATGCATGCTGTTATATAATTTAAAGCAATTTCATGAAAATGAGTGAAGCGAACTAACTGATTGGCTCTAATCGTCGGGCACTTTAATTTTCTTGCCATCTGCCAACTGCCTAAGCCATCTGAGGATTAGGAGCTCTGCCAGCCGAAAGACTTCCTCCCCTGCATCCGCATCTTCTCGGTCCCCTGCTTTCTCTGCCGAATACTTGCCACAAATCTCAACTGACGAATTGCGTATACGCAACGAGCTTCAACTGAATTTGAAATTGTGACGGCAACATGTCCCCAAAATAAATAAGCAAAAAGCGGCATGTGTGTGCCCTGAAATATATGCAATACACTTTGCATATAAATACGAACTCGTTTTATTTTATTTCGATTTGATTTGACCAAGGCGAGACGCAAATTAAAATATTTAAGCCACTTTTTTAAAGGGAGTCGTATTTTGGCAAGGGTTAGAACGCTTGATAGGCAGTATGTCCAGGAAAATGACAAGCTGATTTTCCACCTACATCCATTTCCACACACACACGCCAGCACAACACGCAGCTGAGCTGATAAAATGCAAAGAAAAATGTTTTGCACTGAATAGTTTTCAATTTCATAATTCAGTGAGCACGCTCAATGACAGCATTTCAATATTGCTTACACAACAACAACAGGAGCAGTAAGACACGCACACACGAACAACAAAAAATAACTACTAAAAATAATAAGAAAAACCTTAAAGAAAATACAGGGATATCTCGAGAAAGTGGTCACTTGCTCTGTTTAAATAAAGTATTCCAAATTGTTTATATGTTGTATGTTCAGTGAACGGTTAAATCATTAAATTTCTCCCATACTCCATTGTTCAATATCAACAGTCATGGATTTCGTCATTTATAATATAAAAGGTATTTTCTTGTGTTAATCATAGAATCGATTTGCGTATTTATCATTATTATTCAATTCAATACCTTTGCAGAGGATGCTAGCATTTTGTTTGGAAGTTTTGAAAGCAGAAAAGGAGACGGTTTTGAAGCTTGATCATCACCATTCATTTATTACCGTTTATGGGTTAATAGCTATTGATTCGAAAAACCCCAGTGGTATTGATCGAACGTAATTTCCTATGTTCAATGGGCTAGCCAAAGTACTCGTACTCGTTGTAAAATTGCATTACAGTGACGCAAAACTGTAATGCACACATATTCAATTGATCTTGATTTGTTTTGACTTGTGTTAGTTCACTGCTACGGGGGTTCACTGTACCACAAAACACAAGGGATAGAGGACAGCAGCTGCTGGATGGAGTGGCAGTAGCCGAATATTACTTATACGCATCGTGTGTGAAGATGTGAATCGTTTTCCGTCCACCGACGACAAAATGCATAAGACAAAGTTACTAAAAGTGTTTATTACATTTTATTCAATAACTTAGCACAAGTTTGGAGCGAGACGGCACTAGTCGGCATGACAGAGTCAGACAGAGAAAGGGAGCGTAGGATTTCTTGAAGTTTCTTTTTGAAATAATAAAATTTTATGCATTTACTTTCTGCTGGAAATGCAGGACAGGATGGTTGGCAAAGAGTTCGGTTTTCCAGCTCCAGAGAATTTATGTTGATTGCAGTCCTGTCCTCTGTTTGTCCTGTGTGTCCTGTATGTGTGTATGTATTTGTGTCCTGGCCAATTAATTGCCAAGCATTTCATTTTCATTGCCGTTATTTATGATGTGACCACAAATATTTTTCAAAAGGCATTGATATGCCACAAGCATTTATTTTGGTTTTCCTTTCCGGTTTTACTTTTATTTATTTTGCCATTTCGCCCGGAAATCTGATCAAAAATGCTATGTTAATATTTTAAGAACTTCTAAATGAAAACTTACACATGTATATTGTGTAGTATAACTGTTGGCGGCAGTCTTCGTAGTGACGAATCGCACGGGGAGTGAGCGCGAGAAGGCTAACTGTACCCGCAAATTAGTAAATGTTCCACGATAGTCCGATAATACTAATAATAATCTCTTAAAATTTTCGTACTAAGACTTTTCGGAAGGCAGGAAATTTCGGAAAAAGTTAAGCTTAGAAAACTGGAGCTGCGGAAAGAGTGGACCAAATGCATAATATTTCTTAGTCCTTACCAAAGTACCAGTCAATCGGTAAAAAATGTCATCATCTTATCTTTCATTACAATACGACTCTCCATAATACAGTTTGAACTGGAGGTACAAAGGCATTTAAAAGAAGAGAAGAAATAGTCGAGTGACTCGGCCATTTAACTTATTAAGTCATTTGCCGATATAAAGACATAATATTAAATTTACAATGAAATATTTTAGCGTTATCGGCGCAGCGTACAATCTATTTAAAACATTTTAACTGTCTGGCTTTCGAAGTGTGATCGCCAGAGCGACGGTCCTGAGAAAGAATATTTATACTTTATAAGTTCGGAAACGCTTTCTTCTTCTTTCCCCGAGTGCCATATACACTTTTAAACGGGTAACGGGTAAAAAAGGGGATATACTGAATGAACCTAATGAATGAAAACTATGGAGGCTGTCATGAGTTTTCATGTGCATACCATTAAAGCTAAGTAATTTAAGTTTCGCATTGGCGAAAGTCTAAAATGAAATGAAAAGTTTCCTTCGGTCCAATTCTCTACACTTGCCATATCTCCAAGGAAGAAATATAATAAATGCGAAATGGAAATAAAATTTATTTGATTGATGATGTGTCCCCGGGAATTAGGACCAATCGCCATTTCACAATTTAGTTTCAATGACAACTTTTTGCAGGAGGAAATTGGCTTCTGTGAAAACGGATATCGGATAAATGGAGTAGTTAACATTTTCATTTTGATTGATTAATTACCATGAGATAAAAGCTTTACAGGAGGAAAAATATAGGAGGAACTTTCTGCAAAAATTCTTAAATCTTAACAAAGTTTTGGATAGGGCATCTACAGTTTTCGTGATAGAAAACTAATTTTAACAGAAATGTTTAACTCCCGTTAATACCTATCGATTGATCTAAAAGTAAGTTAAAATTCTAGTCATAAATATAGCTATTATTAAAATTAAAGCCTTGACGATGATATTTATTGAATTTCAAATAAGTGTTAGGAAATTTGTATCTCTAGATAATCAAATATGCTTTCGGACAGAATTTAAAAAAATATTCCGAAGGGGCTTCAACTGCTCTCCAGCAAGTGACTTATTTTTGTGGCCTCTACATTTGCACTTTAACCTTTGGAAAGTCAATGGGAAGTTCGCTAAGCCCCCGCATATCAAACTTCGAGTGAAGCTCAAAATCAAATCAAATCAATGCCTCCGGGGACGACTTTCGATGGTGCATCCATATCCATGGCTAGTGCTAATTCGGTTTGTGCATCTGCCGGATGCTCCGGATATGCCTTTAATATTTGCCAGGGTTTCTGACTTGGCCTCACCTTTTGTCTTGTGAACTTTAAGTGAATTTGTTTACTCGATCGCAAAACAAAACAAAACAAGCCCGAACAACTGATTGCCACTGAGGATGAGGCACTGTGGAGAAAAAAGCAATTGAATTCGATTGAGTTTCGGCTCGGCTCGCAATCACATCACATCCAGATACCACGCCCAGCACCGCCCACATATGCAAATAGCTTTTGAGAGAGGAGAGAGCCTGGAATTTGGCTTAAGGTTATTTGGCTTTGATCCCCCCACTCGCCCGCCCGTTGTTAACTTTCTTTTAACTCGTTTCTTGCACACACTCGCCTTGGATTGCCTGCTTATTGACATTTCATCCGTCATTGTGCCGGCTGACTTGTTGACTCTCGACCCCCCAGCATCTGGGATTGGATCCCGCATAACGAAATAGATTTTAAATAATTTCCAAACTGATTTGCGCCCTTTCAGCGCCCGCCCCTGCCACGGAGGCCCCGGCTGACACCGCCCAGAGGTGCAACACGGAGGACTGCGCCCTGCCCTACTGCTTCTGCTCCAAGGACGGCACCCAGATTCCCGGCGACCTGGAGGCTGAAAAGGTAAGTAACGCTGGACGGTGGTTGAAAAACCGGGTGGTAGGGTGGCCGGGGATTCCCGGGAATACATCGGTTTTGGTTGGCACTCTGATGCCGCCAGGGTATTCGAACGGGGGATATTTGTTAGCTTAGGGATATCAACGTTGACACTCAACCATATTTCTCTTTTAAATTACTACTCTCTGTATTACACTAGCTTACGAAATAAGTTCCATAAAATGCTCCTAAGCCCTTGCTGGCAGTTTCGGGTGGACCCCTACTTTTTTAATAGAATTTTTAAAGAAAAAAATTAAATATTTCGCAATTTTCTTCAGTTTTCTTTCTTATATCCAATCAATCTGACCAGTTTTTATGTCATGTTCCTTTATATGTACATGATTTAATTGGACACGTATGTAGCTTCAGCGCAGGAGCTTCTGAAAGATGAAAAATGTGAGTTTAAGACGATTGTTCATCCCGACTGTTCAAGTCGTAAAAACTCGAAATAAATCCGTTGAAAATTTATGGGTCTTAAGTTTTAGTTGACATCCTGGCGAATCAAACAATCCGCTTATGGAAAAAATGCATATAAAAATCAATTTACTGTGGAATTTAAAAGTTATGTTAGTCCAACTTAATTTCGATGATATCTCCAACTGTTATTTATATCCCAGTGTTATGCAATCGGGTCAAAAATGAGCAAGCAAAAATCCAAAAACTTAACAAGTGTTATTTAAGCATCAAAAATTGAAAAATGTATAAAATATTAATTATTAATTAGTGGTTGTTATTTAGCTTGAAAAATAAATTGAGCGGCTAAGTAAAATTTATATTGATCATGATCAACAACAATATCTCAATGTCTAAACCTTCATCTAAACGCAAGCGAGTTGTATTGCTTTATCTAAAAACCTATTGTGCTAATACATCATAAAACGTTAACATTTTTTCACAAATCAACACCTATGCCCAGTTAAGTGCATTCAGCAAACTTTCATCAATCTAACTTTTCCTGCACACATTTTCAAAACTTGCTCCATGCATAAATGCAATTATCACACAAAATTAAACGCAAAACTCTATAAGTTAAGTAATTGTTCATGTAAAACCCCTGTAATTGCTTAGACTGGCAGAGTGTAGGATATTGTCCAGTCGAATTTTGCATAGATCGAACTTGGCTACTTGCTGGCTTCCCATTTTTCCATTTTGCGTTTAAGTGTTAATTTGCAGAGCGATAAATTTCCAGTGTATTGACAGCTTTTATTTTTACGACACAGAACTGGGGCTATGGCAGCTGTGGATCGTAGCGCTTTGGATGAGATATATGTAGGTTTCTGGAATCCAGTTTGCCTCTGGGCTCCAGTTCTCCGTGTTCTGTGACTATAAATCTATGTATTTGCATTCGGTTTGCTCTTATCGTCGCTTTGCATAAGGAAATTGTGCTCTTGTTCTTTTTGCCATCTGTTGTTTTTGCTGTAGTCCTTCCCTTATTGTTGTCAGTTATTGTATTTGTTGCTGTTGCTCCTGGTGTTCCTGTTGATTCGAATATCCTGTTTAATAACTACGCTTTGTTTATTTGGCCAAGAGTTATGCGCTCACGGTATAAATAGAAATGGAAACAGCAAGACGGAAAACCCTTAAAATTGTTCCAAAAACTGTAAGTGCTTAAAGCTGTTACCTTAATGCAGCTATCTCTTTAGCTAAGACTTAACAAAATATATTACTTTGTTCGCAGTGCTTAAATTATTTGTTAAATATTTCCCTTGCTATAGTTATTGCACCTAAAGGAGAGTTAATTTAAATCGCAGTGCTTAAATTATTTGTTAAATATTTTCCTTGCTATAGTTTTTGCACCTAAAAGTAACAAGAAAGGAAGGTAGCTTCAGCATGCTGAAGTTGATATACCCTTGAAGCTCAGGCCATATCATGCAACTAAAATGACATACAGCGAGAAATGTTCCAGAACATTTTTCCTGAATTGAAAACATTTCTTCTTGAAAACCGTGTAAACACGTTTCAACCTGATATCCTTGAAACTGAGAGACTAGATTGCTTGGCCGTAGCGACTTTACTAGTTATACTAATCAAGTATATATATTCTTTATAGCGTTGCAAACATTCTGACTGAAATCATAATACCCTCTGCAAGGGTATACAAACCTGTTAACTCACAGATGACCCCATTTTGCCCTTTGCATTGGGGCCCCTCTTCTAGCAAATTGACAGACAGTTTGCAGAGCACATTAGTTGTGGTTTCGCTTGCATAATAATAAAGAGACAATTAGTTAACTAACGAAACGAGAATGCTCTTCGAAGGATTTGAGCACTTATTAATATGGGTAGAGATTTAATTTTTTTCTTCTGATCTGTCGTATTTCTGGCAAAGGGACTTGAAAAAGTTGTCTTACCATGTGCATTTATATTTTAAGATTGTGAACCAAGAAATAGTATATTATACTACCGTCTACTGAACTTTCTATGTATAATTCCCTTAAAGGCGTTTATTGTTTTTTGCTTCTTTTTGGCAACGTCATGCGTATGCTTGGAATTTTAGTGAGGATAAATATAAATTATCTAGAATACTACCGTATAGTAATACAAAGAAATAAAAACATATTTCTTCAGGTTTCTTTTTAATCCATTTTAACATTATTTTTTACACCCGTGCTAGAACTAACGAAACAAATTAGTGATCGTCCTTTGACAGATCCTGAATTATGTGCCCCTCGCATAAAGAGTATAGCTTGGCGGGAAAAAAAAGCAAACATATATGTATAAGTTGAAAGCAAAGCGGATGTTTATGTGGCAAAGCACACACACAAACATATACGCAAATCGCAGACAAACAAACTAATCCGCACACACATACACAATCTCGCGGATGCATCAACACAGACACGGACACACACACACGCAGACAGACAAATACATGCATTCAAATACAAACAAGGCAAGTGAGCCACTTAATTTCGAAATTGAAATGTATGTTTGTCCTCCCCATCCGTTTTGTCCTGTTTGTGGGTGTGCATGTGTGTGTATGGTCGTGCATTAGTGTGTGTCTGTGTGGGGGCGGGTGAATGTGTTTGTCGGTGCTTATTTAAGTGTTATTAGCGCTTACATCATGTAAGTTACATGTGTTCGCAGTAACGCAGCCCCAAAATAATTCCATTTGCTAACTGAATCTTTATCTATGTGTGAGTGTGTGTACGTCATTTGTGAGTGCGCGGGCGTAATTATAATTAATATCATCTCAATTAACCGCAAACAAGCGGTTAATTTGTGCATGCCAAAAAGTTCCTTTGAGTTGGGTTCCCACATAACGAATACGCCGTGTGGGCCATAGGCCCTCAGCTCTGTCGCTGTTCATCTTGTTCCCCCCTCATCACGACAATCATTCAGTTCACCCATTTTATAATTTCTTACGTCTTTCAATTATCGTATCGCTCAATTTCACAATGTGGTACCAATTCCACAATGGAAGCAAAACTTTGGGCTGCGAATGGTCGTATTATACTCTCCAATCAGGATAAATAGTTGACTATTGAGAAAAATGGTACATTTTCCACAGAAGTTGCGAGAAGAAAGGAGAGAACACTAGCTTCAGCGACCGGAACCATATCATCACACTTTTACTTTTCTGTCCATTGCGACCCGTTTTGTATAAAGTTAATTAATGACCAGCAGTGAAGTGTACACATTATAAGCTAATGAATTAGAGGTTAAACTGTTATATTTGAACTTCAGTCGTTTGACTACACAGAGAAAATTCTGACGTTCTCATCTGAGTTGAAAATGTTCTTAAAAATAGAACGACATTTTTAAGTTGAAAATGTTTTTATTTTGCTCGAATCAAGTTGAATTGGCGGTATTTTTGTACATTGTATATCTCAACAAATAAACTATTAGTTTAGTCCGTAGTTTATACTTAAAAGTAAATAAACTCGATCTAACTTTTCTCTTCTCTCAATTTTGTTCTAATATTGAGAACATTGATACCAAAATGTACTTACACGGTTTTTAAGAACGAATGTTCTCAAGTCAAGAACAATGTTCTTGGATATTTCTCTATGTGTACTCCCAAGAGACCCTCTTACTATGACAGCCGTATAGAGCATTTTCGGCACGGCGTCACAACTGAACATTTCGTGTAGTTAGACATCGTATCGTACCCCGTACTTTATTATAGAAATATTTTTTAGGAACTTAAATAAATTATGTGTAGGTAGACATCGGAAATTCAACCTACAACACTTTTCGGGCTTTTAATAATTTGTTTAATACGAAAAGTTTTAGTCGACTATAAACTTGAAAATGTTTTTCTTTTACTTTAAAAATATCTTCTAAGAATTGTGTGCCATTAAATGAAAGATGCATAGTTTTGGGTATTCAAGGTACTTTTTTTCGCTCAATAACTTGCAAACAGTAATTTTTATGACAAAAAGTGTAAGTGAATTTTTTTTTTTATTTATTTATTTGATTGTGTTGTAGATCAAAAGTTGGGGAATCTCAAGGGCTATACAAATTGAAATTTGAAAGAACTCGTTCAAACCAATTTTGGGAAGATAAGCAAAAGTGGTAAAATAAAACCTTTTTGCTATAACTTTAAATCTATTGTCATTAGAGAAATTACTCAAAGGCACCGTGATTAGCATATTAAATGACATTTTCAGCTACATATAGCACGTATTTGATTCCTTTTGGATTCCCCTCTAACCTAGCGCGTTTTTCCACAAGTTGTAGAACAAAAGTTTTCTATCTCGAGCTTCATAATACTTATTCTTAGACCAAAAAGGGATTCATACAAGCCCACAAACAAGGGACAAACGTTTTTATTTTGGAAAGTCCCACAAAATCTTGTTTTTGGAATATCTTTTGAACGCAGCATTGTACTTTAACAAATGAGGTATCATTCGACGCGTATTCTCAGTAATAACCTCACCAGCTGCAATTTGTTAAATTTTCACTTTTATTATAAATGATTAAAAGATTAAAAATCGGGCCAAGGCGAGGCGTTAAATAAACCG